TATTCAGAAATATCGCATTAAATTATGTTATTTTATTATCTTTATGTTATTTTATTTTATCATTTGTGTATATATATATATATATATATACGGAAAATTAAGAAATATCAATTAGCAATAACCATTATGCCACAAACTGATATTGAATCATAAGATTTTTTTATTTTGAACAATAAAGAATCAATAATCTGAAATAAAAATTTAAGTATTTGAAAACTGATTTCAATATCTTAATCTTAAAAATGGCAACATTTGTCATAACCTTATGAATTATTCTTTATGAATTAAAATTCAGAATAAAGTTTTCGATTTCTTCCATCAAAATAATCATAATCTTGCTCTCAGGATTTCCCTTTTATCTTTAATAATGATTTGCGTTGAATTTTTATTCATGGGTGCGAACAGATTTCATTTCTTGACTTAAATAATGATAGCAATAGTTTTAAAGATTTAATTTTGACGAGAATTAACAAATGCATGTTTTTAACAGTAACGGTAGTTGCAGAACACCTTGCGTAAGATATTTAGAGAGAATATAAATTGCAATTCTTTGATAGGTAACTGATGATAAAATCTTCGTAATTGGTGGATTTAATGGCCTGTCCACCATAGGCAATGTCGAATGCTACGATGATCGCGAAGAACTGTGGTGTCCAGCTACAACAATGTGTGCTTTCCGATCAGCCTTGGCCGCCTGTGTTATATCCGGTCTACCAAATGTCGACGATTACATATACAAACAAAGATGGAATTTGTTGGAAGAGAGGCGCCAAAAGCTGTTACAACAGCAAGCCATCAACACAGCCATGGCACGCCAACTTGCATTTCTTAGCGATGAAGAATCTGCGGAGGATGAAGAAAACATGGAATAGACTACTGTAAATAGGCAAGCATTTAAAATGTCTCTTAAAATTAAGCTTTCTGTTTTTCAATATAGTTAGGATATTGAAAATGGAATATTAAAAATCCAATTTGCCATACCAATTTATGTTTCGAAAAAAGGAGAATACGACGCACGTCGAGAAAGGAGCAGAATAGACTAGTTTAATTAGTCATTAGAATTTTTCAATTTTACAGATTCAATAAACTAGTTAGCCAACAAACTAACAAACGATAAACGAAAGATCAAAAAAATGTTTGATAGTGGCATTTGCTGTTCTTGATTTTTCATTTGTTTTGAGATTCCTTGATGGCCTCCCCCCCTTTTTTAAGAACAAAATTTAATTAATTTAATAAGTCTAGAAAAGAAGGGAGTTTACAGAGTTGAATATGCTTAACTACTGTAAGCAAGCAAGCTTGTGAAATTCTCCAATGCTGTGCATTCTGATAATTAAAATACAGAGTGCAATAAAAATTAAAATGGAAAGAGTGTAAATTTTAATTGAAGTTATGCTTCTTAAGTCATACTTCTGGCATTAAAATATCGGTCCTAACATTTTAACTTGATAGATAATCTGACTAAAGAAAATCAAGAAATTTAATATTAATACTCATATCATCTATTTATTGGTTTCTTGGCAGGTATAGTATATATCTTGTAAGTCACTATATATCTTGGTAAGACCGATATATACTAAATCCGTTACCCATTATCTAAACCGTCCTTTATCCAATACCTTGAACCAATTCCCTAAACCCTTTTTTACCCATATCCAAAGCCTGTCTTTACTCAATACCTAAACCAGCCTTGATAGGAGAAAACTAAAGAATATACAAATTATGTTTATCATCTTCTCAAGACAGCGTAGGATATAATAAAGAGGGAAGATCTACTTAAAGCTTTGGCAAAATTTAAAATTCAACTCATTCAAGCGTTCTATATAAATAAATAATGAGTTATCCTAGGCCTTTGTTACAGATAGAGGTCTTAGGCAATGCCCTATCATGCTCACTTCTTTAACATTGAACTAGAAAAAACCATCGAAGATTAAAACGATTGCAACTAATGACACTTTACAAAACAAATGCATCAGATCCTCATCCATCACAGATGATCCTCACATTATAGGAAGACCAAAAAGGGCTGTTATCGATGCGTTAGTGACTTTTTAGAAAGATGATGAAAAAATGAGCTAAAGCATCAACAAAAATAAACTAATATTTATTGTTGTGAGGTTGATAATGCACCACTGGTAGCGGATGGTCACACCTTCGAGAAAGTCACTGAATTTAAGTTGAACAACAATCATTAACAAAAATGAAATGAATTTTGAAATTAATCACCAATTTATACTGGCAAACACATGCTACTAAAGTTTAATAAATCAACTAAGATCACGACTCATAAACTATGGAACTAAAATCAGTGTGTAAAAAACACTTACCCTACCAGAATTCTTCTGTGGTATGTACTAGTGTAGGGCAATCGTGCCTTACACTAGTAAACTGAGTAAACATATAAAAAAATGGGCTGCTAATTTTTGAAAGAAAAATACTACACTGCTCCAAAAAATAACGTCTGGCAAATTCCTTACAATCAAGAATTTTTTATTCGGTATAAGAAAATCATAGAATCAAACCAAATAAGGTATCTTCGGCACTTATTTAAATCGGAAGATAACAACTGTTAATTACCGTCAATAAACCAGATAGCACAGAGAAACGGGAACGTTGAGAAAGATTTGAAAATATTAAAGGTAACTAATTGGAAACTACATGCATCTGATGAGCTCCGATGGAGAAAGAAACTCATTGAAACGGGCCTGACTTACTCTGGGCTGTAGTACAAAAAAGAAGAAGAATGTTGCAAAAGAAAATTTTTCTACTGCGGTTCTTAAAAAGTTTTAAAACAAAAAAATATAGTTTCTGTAGGAAAATTAAAGTTTACAAAAATCAAAGCTGATAAATAAATTCAACCCATTAAATGGGTTTTATACCATGATCTAAGGTATCATGATAAATTTAGCAAATTTTACCAAATGTTTTCACTTATTATAAAACCATATTACATTGTTAATATTACCAAAATCATTGCCAAAACTCTTTTGCTGTTCCCATAGAGCAAGAAACACTATAAATTTTACCGTATTTCGGTAGTTTTAATCATATTTTTTCTCAATAAACAGGGTGTGCCAGGATTTTAGGGATAAATTTTACGGGGAGGTAAAGGACATCACAAGGATTCAGAATTGTATAGCAACCCTTGGGAAATGTCAGGAAATAGCATGATAGGTACACGAAACATAGAGACACAAAACTGAAATCATCTCAAATATTTATTGGTCAAAGTGATGTGGTAGATGATATGGAAAGTGTGACAAGAGATGTTCAGATGAACTCTTCATCGCCGGTACTTAACATAACCAAATAATTTTTTTAAAAATCATATTTCAATAAAACTACGTTTCGGTAAAAACTGGAAGCAAAATGTATTAAACCTTTGACGCAGATGGCACATCTGTATTCCTATTATATACACTGACGCTCTAATTACAAGTAAAAATATTTATTTTTATTAATAAAAAACAGTCTAACAGCTACTAAAAACTCTGCTAGACTATCGGAATTATATTTCTACTAAAAAATAAAATTTAAAAAAAAAGTTGTTTGAAAATTCGTTTTTCATTCATACTTCAAAATTTATTAAAATTGATTTTGTAAATTAAAAATATTTCAATAATGAATAACTGTTCTTTCTAATAACTGTAATTCTAAATAACTACAAAAATGCAAATTTAAAAATATATTGTTCGTATGAGGGGTCATGTTTAGAAGATTTTACCTTTAACGCAGAAAAAAGACACTAGTGTTTCATACTGCAAATATTAAAATGCTATTTTTTATGCCTTTGGACCTAAATTTATACAAAATAATGAAAAAAATATTAAAAATATGTTTAAAAGTTCTGCGTCAAAGGGTTAATATAGCTTAAATCTTACACGACATAAAAGTTATTTTTTGTAATAATCACTTTAATTTTATCTTGCAGATACCCTTGATAGAACGACGTAATTAAAAGTTTTAGATGAATCAAAAAGTGAAGGATCAGAACGTCGAACAAAGCACAATGATTAATAAGAGTTTTTTGTAGTAGATGGAATTTAAACAATTGGAAATCAAAATAAATCATTCAAAATATCATGAGCTTGTTCTTATTTAGGAAACATAAAATGAAAAATCAAAAGTGCTACGAATTAAATGAACAAAATTAAAAATATAGGTTATAAGGGAAAAGATCAAATCATCATTATTGTATCCAAAATACTAATCATCATTTAAAATAGATTTTTTATTGATTATTAGAAAAAAAGAGAGCCGTCATGATTCAACGGTCAACGAACTTAACTGCCACTGTAGAATTGAAGTTCATTCAGCTTCAAATTGATGCGAATTAATTGGATCTACACATAAATCATTATTATTCATTGACCATAATATATATATATATANAGCAATAAAATTTAAAGCTTTCAGAGGTTTGAGAGAAATATAATAAATTAAAACAAATATTCTTGAATACCCTATGTTAGAAAATCAAAAATATATTGTAACTTGTACTGATTACTTTAGTTGTTATTTTTAATAACTTCATAAAGTTTTGTTAACCTAGAGTAAATATTTATCGAGAAATGGACATTTTTATAAGAAATTTATTTATTTTTTTATTATTAGCTCGAATGAATGCGTAGTACATTATCTGGTCTTTAGTTATTACAAAAAAAAATATGAGAACATGGCGATAAATTTGACCATAAAAAGTGAAATTAATAGTTGGATTCGGAAATAAACATTATCGCCTAGACTGAAAATCTAGAAATTGGTTTCTATCAATAAACATTACTAGATTGACTTCAAGTACGATACCATAAAAATACTTGTTTAAAAAAAAAAGAAAAAAAAAGAAAAGAAAAAAAAAAACTAAATTCTGATTGTGGAAACGTCAAAAAACAGCTGGAAAATTATATGCAGTCACCCGTGTAGCCATGCATGTAACTTTTTATATCAACGCTTGAGCATTAAATAATTATATTTTCTTTTTATCATCATTATTTCACAGCTGGAAATAAATGGATGAAAATAAAATTTAAGAGAAATGAAAGATAATATAACTAAAATTCAAAATGAATACTATTTATAATTATTATAATTTTATAGTGTATTAGAAAAGGTTAAGATTCATTTTTTTTAAAATATTTAATGCATTATGGGCATAACAGGTAAAGAGAAATTGTTTATGGAACAGTAGGGATTTCATTTGGAAATGAACTATTGTAAAGGCCCTCTCTAGCGAGATTTGGCATCACTCTCAAATTGGATTATTTCTTCAATCCACTTACTTAGTGCATTGCGCTAGCTTGAAATAATTATTATTCTGTGAGTGTAACACATTAGTGAATTAGCTACATATTTGAGCGGAAGGAATAAATTAACTGAAAGGAAGCCAAATCTATTTTTATACTTAGACCCTTTTTTGCTATTTTATGATGAAGTTGCTTCATTTTTCCATGTATTTTTTTTTTGCTTCGCCTATCCGAATGTGCTTATAATTTGGTATTGTTTGCTATGTGTGTATATGTTACTGTAAAGCAGTGTTTCCCAAGCTTATGACTTTTGTGTACCCTTTCTAAATTTTTCGTAACGATGTGTACCACTAATTTAAAAAATGAATGTATTTTTTACTATAAAGAATTGAACAAAAGTTAAAAATCTCAACTGGTTGTTGGCACCACTAATTATTAAATGTTACCTCCGCAAAAAATAGTTCATAGAAAAATACGTAATCGTAAATTTTCATGGCTAGCATTGTTTCTAAATAAAAATTTTGAAATTTTATTTAAAGAACCCCAGCTAAAATGTTTCCGTTCCCCTGGGGGTACGCGTACCACACTTTGGAAAACACTGCTGTAAAGGAGCGAAATTGGAGGTTGCCAACTTCCACAGGTGAATGTTGATTGTCACATAGTCGCTTTGGTAAATGTCCGAAATATGTACTAGGTCTAGTTATGTGCCACTGCCCGGTATACAGTTGCCCGGTATGCCCTTCATCAATGTTTTTTAAGGCCATTGCTCGGGATTGATTTAACCGGTACTACGATCACTGATGTTTCTCCTAATCTCTCCACAGCAGATATTAAAATATCAAATAAATATAATAATATCAACGAATAAATTAATATCAAACCGGATATAACAAACATTTCGGACATTCACCAATGCGACTATGTGATTTTTCACATTCACCGGTGAAAGTCAACATTCTTTAATATCGGATCTTCACGGTTACATGTATATAACAAATTACAAATGATAAAGTATGCTGAAACTTGAATAAATTTGTAGTACACAATCTGTTCTTAAGTTATCACAGAAAAAAAAGAGAACATAGTGATAAATTTGGCCAAAAATGTGAAATTAACATATCTCCAGTCGGTTTGAGACGGAAAGTGCACTATCGCCTCAAGTGAAAATCTAGAAAGTTGTTTCCATCAATAAACATTACAGCCTTGACTTCATGTACGGCACCATAAAAATACATATTTTATTTTTTAAAAAAAGAAGAAGAAAAAAAAATTTCTGATTGTGGAAACATCCAATAACATCTGGAAAATACGATGTGTTTACAACGCATGCGCTAAGACAAAACAATACTGTCTTTTTATCATTATTATTTTACTATTTGAAATAAACGGATAAAAATAAAATTCAAGGCAAAATGGATGTTAATGAAACTAAAATTCAAAATGAAAATCATTCGGAAAAGAATAAATTAAATAATCGAGAAGAAATATGTATAGATGATATAAAAGGTACGTCCTTGACTTAAAAATGTCTCTATTTAATTCTTTATGATCAGAATGTTCATTAAAAAGAAAATTCTGTATTTGATAGGACTATTTTTGGAATTTATATCACACAATCGAATAGTTTTTAAAGGTTTATTGAAAAAACATTATTCTTAAAAATTGTATTTTTATTTATTAATAATTATATACTAGTAGTATAGGAGATGTTACAACTTTCTCCAGTGTCTTATTTTTGTATTGCAAATATTAGTGTTTAAGTGTTGATTTTCACAGTCATGAAAACATTAACAACTCAATAACGCATTTGAATTTCAAATTGCCTTATTACATATAAGTTAAAATTTAAAAAAAGCAAACTCATTTAAACAGTACTTTTTATCTGCTAATGTTTAGCAAATTCAACGGATCGTTTTCAAAGCACTATGAATCAATGCACCAATATCACCTAAGAAAACTTACTGACACTTTATAAAAAAATATATTTTTAAAAATTAAATTCTGGTATCAGTTTGAATATTTCAAGGAAAAGAAAAATACATAGAAATCCATTTAGAGCAGATATATTCAATAATTTTTATGAGTGTCTTATACTTTGTAAAAATAAAAAAATAAAATTTTTCTTTCAAAATTTGACTTCCTTCTTATAGAAAATGAACGTTCTCCTTAAATAAAATTTTAATTTAAAACTATTTATTTAAAGTTTAAGTTGCTAATATAAAATTCATAAGAAAGCTTCATTTTTGTAGAACTTTTTTTTTTCTTTGAGAACCGAAGAATTTTTTCAATATTAATTTGAATGAGCGATTATTAAGTATCATTTTAGTGAATTTTGGGAGATCAGTTATAAAATTTAAGGGTGCATTTTTTTAACCTAGAATCATACTTCTTTAAGTATTCGGAGGAAATAAATTTCATAACAGACATTTGTGGTAAAATTGGATTTAAAATAGACACGCATTTTCCCATTTAATCAATTGTTTTGATCCCTATCGCATATCTATGTGATCATGTTTATTAATAAGTTGTGTTGTGGCGTCCAATAGAAAAAAAACGAATTTATACATTTTAATTTGTTGTTGCGTTTGTTATTATAAATGTTATAGTTGTTATATATTAAAAGATCATTGAAAGCTTTATAAAATCAGTGTAATCTTAAAAAGAATTACATTTTTTTTAAAAAAAACTGATATAATTCCATTTTTTTCGATTTGTGTTTAAAACTGAATGCAAACTAAATTAAATAAATTATCCAAAAACTAATTTATTCTAAAACCATTCAGTTATATTTTATTGCATATCAATTTGTGCATCTGCCAATCAATATAAAAGAAGAAAAATAACTATGTAGTGATTTGAATTTTGCATTGAATTTCGAAGTTAAACTAGCATTCAAGTTATTTTTAAATATATTGGAATATTGTTTTTAATTTTATTGGACAATAATTGAAACTTTAGGAGCTGTAGGATATATGTAGAGTGTTTATTTACCATAGAATTGATGTTAAGAGAGGTTTATGCACTTAGTAATAATTATTCTTAAAGGTTCTACATTTTCTGTTGATGATGCTGTTGAAAAAGCAGGATATGGAAGATTTCAAATCCGTTTACTCTGTTTAGCGGGATTAGGATGGGTAAGTTGATCGTTTAAATTTATTAACGAATATTAAACAATTTTCAGAAGTCATTAAGGTTAACGGGATTTACAGAAATGTGTTTCACTATATAATTTTTTAATATATTTACCGTTGGCAATTAAAGATCGAGTTTGAATCTGATAATTAAGTTCATTTATGATAAACAGCCAAGTCTAATAATTGATCCAAACTAGACAAACAAATGTTTGAATAAACAAATTGTATGAGTATCGAAAATCAAATGAATCGTTTTATTAAGGAGTCATTTTAATCGTTTTATTAATCGTTTATTAATTAATCGTTTTATGGAATAAACTGATGTAAATCAACGTATTAAATTTAATGCTTCAGAATCTTTGGTTGAACAAGAAAACAGTGTAGATAACTTTAAAGTTTAAATTACATACCTTACAAAATTAGTTAAAAATAAATCACTTATATACACATAATTAGGCTTCAATTTTAATTTACGCTTTCGATTCTCTAATTTTTATTTGAAAATAAATTTTCTTAAAATTCAAGAATAATCAGCATGTATGCAAAAATCTTAAGTTTTTTTTTAATATTATTATTTTTATAGTTTGCTGATGCGGCGGAAATTTTCATTTTATCTGTTATTGGTGATTTTTTGTCTTGTGATTGGGAACTTCAACGATGGCAATTAGCTATGCTAACATCGGTAAGTTTTAATTGTTTTATTAGTTTATTTTAAGTTTTTTTCAAGTCATTTTTGAGTAAAAATATTTTTTAATATGTTCAATTATATGAGTAATTTAGGCGGTTGAAATAATTCCATTAAATAAAAAAAGTATATATTATACAAGGCACATTGGTTTAGGTTGTTTTTAACTTAACCACTACAGAATTTTAAAAATAACGTAACTCTTTTTTCTTTTTTTCAAAAAAACAACCAAAACTAAGGGAGATCGGATGAATCTCTACAGTCTGTATTAAAATATTATTCCTTTACGGAAAAACAAAATTATTTTTTTAAAAAGTTTCTTAATTTCCTCCATTCTATTTTAAATAGAATTCTTTTTTTAAATTCGGGAAATGGTATTTTTTAATCTTTCGCACTTTGATGTGACCTTTGAGTAGACATCGATAGTCACCACTCTAAAACTTAAATTATTTATATCTTAATAATTAGCAACCACATTATTTCATGAATTCCAGATATTATATAAAAAATATTGTACAATGTAGCTAATTTGATTTACTGTTTAGATTAGTTCAAACAACATATTAAAGTAATCGAAGTGCAAGAGGTTAAATTTTCAATTTAATTTGAAGTTAGAGAAATTTTTCAACCGTTCGAAAATATTTTTTGTATAATTTATTACAATAATTCTGAAAAAAAATATTATTTAGATACTGCAGTTTCATCCAATTTATGAAATAAATAATTTTTTTAATACATTTCATTATTGGCAAAACTGCGATGTCTAAAAAATATTCTTTTCATAAATATAATAATAAATTATACAAAAATATGCCTTAATTTTTCAGAAATTTTAATTTCTGTTCAAATCTAAATGATTCGGATACTATAATTTCGTCCAATGTATGATATCTATTCATTTTTAATATGAAATCAATAAATTTAATACTTTGATCAAAAGTAAAATAAAGTTTCATAATGATTATAACAAATTATACAAAATTGTTTTGGATGATTGACAATTTCATAAAAACTATGAATCGAAAATCGCTCACGGGAGTTGTGAACACTAATTTACTTCCTACGATTCTTCTATGAATCACATGATCTGTGTTCTATTTATTCAAATAAAATTCACGAATTAGTATAAAAATAATTTTAATAGCTATTGTTCAAATTTTCTGAAAAAATGAACTTTAATTCGAAGGAAATCACGAAAACGTCGTTTTAAGATCAATTTAATATCGCTATTAAAAATAATTTTTTTATAATTCTTATATTGCTTAGTTAAAATGGTCACTATATTATTTAATGCAGCGTAACTTCCTAGTGGAAATCATTTGCTAGCTTTGCATGATTAAATTTTAAAATTAACCGAGCTTGTCAATCTAAAATTTCTTTCGCGTGTAGCTTGTTTTTGCTGGAACTATGATTGGAAGTCCAGCGTTTGGAACATTGGCTGACAAATATGGAAGAAAGAGGGTAAGTTATTTAGTAAATACTGTCTTAAGATTTTGTCTTATATATCGTGAAACCCATGTTGAGAATTTAAATAAATGTTATTAAATTACAAAATTAAAATGCTTACAAAAATTAAGATGGAAGAAAGAAAGGAAAACGTGCTTGGTATAGAATGAATTTAGAGAATAGAGCACGTCACTCCAAACTCACATTTCCCTTATGGTTGTGAGAAATTTGGCGGAATTCTACTTTATTTGGCGAGTGTTCGCTTGGCGGACCTGTACTCACAAAGTACCTGTTATTCACGGAAAGTACCTGTTATTCACAAATATTTCTTACGAAATTGTTTAGAATATATTAAACGATATATTAAAAGGTTATGTTAAAAGATTAGTATGTTATACTAAAACCATGCAAAGATAATGGATATTCAACGAGTAGATTTTTCTTTATCTTAAGACATGGAAATGGTCCCTTGCTTGAAACCGAGTAGAACTAGAATAGTTTTTCCTTTTAGTATCTGTAAAACAGATGGAAATTGGTCGCAGTGTTGCCAACCCAGAAAAAGAATTTAGATATGATATTCGGCTACCTAATCAGCCTTTTCATTCTCTTTGGGATCCACCGCAAAAGAACCACATCATAATTTTCATGTATTTCTCCTGGTAGAACATAAAAGTCTACATTACATAAAGGTTAGAGTTAGACAAGACTGGCACCGGCAAACACCACTGCCTGTAACTACTTGCAAAATAACCTGTTCAGAACGAGAAGGTCGAGTCAAAAGTTAAATTTTTAACCGTTTTAACAGTAAAATTTTCATTTTGATGACTATGAAGTTTTATTTTATTCACTTGAGACTTATGTATTATAATTTAAAGAACTATTCAAAATAATTATTAAACAAGTTCACTTTTTATAATTTTAAGTAAAAATGTTTAATTATAATTGAAAAAAAAACTATCTTAGAGTCTTTCAGTAGCTACGCCTCTACTATTCGTATTTGGTGCTCTCAGTGCAGCGTCGCCTTCATATGTATGGCTGGTTGTATTTAGATTTTTAATGGGTTTCGCCCTCGGAGGAATGACGCAAGGGTAAGACAAATTATTTATCTTTAAATAAAATAGTAATAATCACTACTTTTCAATATCTACCGTTTGGAGAAATTAGGCACAATAGTAAAAAATGTTGAATGAAAATATTTTGTAGGTGAAAAAGAAAGGAGACAGTTATTTAATAATAGTCTCTTTGATATAAAGACAAAAAGAAAACATAAACTTTTTAAAATAGTTTAAATGGAGAAATTCAGCAACAATTCTCTTGAGAATATGACTACAATGACAAAAATCCATTTGTAGTTAGTGAAAAAATGATAGCAGAGACGAATATTCAATATAAATATTTTGAATGAAACAAAATAGCAACAAAGTTTAAATAATAACTTTTTGAGAAAAAAGACAATGGCAAAAAAATTCTAATGTTTGTTATTTTTATAAAGAAACAATAGTAAAGGACATTCAATATAAGCATTTCGAACTAATATTTAAATTTTAATAATTTTTTTTATCTAGCAGGATAATAGGAAAAAAACTCAGAATAAACACAATTTATTAGATTGAGTGACAGACATATCAGTAAAAATTCCATGCAAACGCGTTAAATTACAATTCTACTGTTAAATTTAGCTACTTCCGTAATATGTCATGTTTAATCATTACAGTACATTCCATTTAACTATGTGGGAATAAAATTTAAAATCAATTTTTCTTAAGTTTAAAAATATATTTACTTATATGAAACTACAACATACTAAAACAATATAAAATTTAAGTTCCACATCCCAGTTTACAGTAAATTTTAAAAAGCTATTTCATACACATAGTTTACAAATAGTATAGAGTTACAGACAGTATGAGTTTATAAATTTATTTAAAATATTTTCATTTAATAGTTCACATTTAATAATTTACATTTAATTATTTTTAATTAACTTATTTAGACTTAATTAATTTTATTTACTACTTTTATATTTACTTGTGCTAATTTAGTTCTTTTTTCTTTTTAAATTTCGAAGTATAGATTCCAAACTTAGGAGTCAATTTTTTTAAAAGACAGTCAAATCTGAGAGGGTTGGATATTTGATATTTTCGGCCTTGAAAGTTGGGCAAATTTTCTGTTTCTTGGTACTTTAAGGTAAATTTCAAGGTCACGCTAAATGTACACGTTAGATATGTTGATTTCTTTGGTATTTCTCATTAGTAATATTTCCAGAACTATATACTTTTATTGTTTCACGATCGAAACAAGCAAATTATCACTGGGAAAGTCTGCGTCCTTATTTCGAAGATTTTTGAACGATCCTTGTACTTCAACTCCAAGATCCACTGAAAGCATTTATGTCTTAATAGTTGGAGTAAAAATAGTTAAACATATATTATTGGTCAATGCGGTCGTTCACTAATTTAAAAATAAATTATTACCTCATTTAAATGGTGTTTTGCTCAAAATTCCAAATGATGTTCATTTTTCACTCCTTAAAATCGTAAGAAAATTTCCCAAAATGCATTTCGTTTTCTTCGATTTTATATTTTATAACTGGCGTTGAACAGCCGACCCAATTCTGAGTTTACAACTATCAATCTTCAACTCCGAAGTCTTGTAATTTTGAACCCATTCCAGAAGACACGGGAACTCCTGGATCAAGAATTGGGAGAAAAGGGCCTTTGTGAAATACTTTTTGATGGAACTCACTCGCATTTGCGTTACATGGATTATAAAACCATGAAAATCTCCCATTTATAAACGACGGCAAGGGGACTCTAACCCATGATCCGTCTACCAATGTGGATCTTTTACGTCAGCACTGTGGTCGGTGCGAGCCAGGTGTGGAATTCGTATCGATCAGCCATCACTTGTAATCGAATCCTGTTCACCTCATTGGAAGGCGAACACTCTATCCCCTGAGCCACCACGGTTCTTAGCAAAATAGATTTAAAAAAGTATGTTTAATAGTTTTACATAAAGAACTTATCTCGAAAGTTTCAACAAAATCAAAGTTGTCAAGTATCCAACCCAGTCTGGCTCTAAAAATCCGTCTCTTAAATTGAGCTAAATCTTTGCAACTCTTGTATTCAATTATTTCATTTGCAAAATAGTTTTGTTTTAATCTGCTCATTTTTAATGTTATAGAAGTTTATCTAATAAATACTGTTCTTTAAATAATAGGAATGCATGTTTTCATTCAATAGGCTTACTCTTTGTTCCGAATATTGCCCTACAAAGATGAGAGGTCGAGCTGGATTCTACTTGTGTGTAGGTAATTTAGAATGAATAAAATAAAATACACCAACTGTTTGTTTTCATACAGAAAATGTTACCTCATAGGATGGAATAGATTAAGACATTAATAGGTGTTATTTAATAATAAATACTTTGAATATATATATTAGAATAAAAAGAAGCATTTTCAAATGACTCAATATAGTTTTACTCGTATACTTTCAACGATATCTTAAAATATTGATTTTCAGTAAGAAAAAAAATTAAGGTTTTGAATGTTATTTTTTATTTTTATGGTCTAACGATTTTCCGAAAAATAATTTGAAAATATGCCACATTTAAATCCATTTAAAAAAATGTATCTATTGAGTTTTACGGCTAAAAACATTTTCTTTCATTTTGATTTTTTTTTTAAAAAATTACAAAGCTTGTGAAATTTTTGTAATTTTAAAAATTATGTCATTTAATGCAAAATTAATCATTATTGTTTCAATGATTCAACATTCAATGTAAAGTCTTAAATCTTATATCGCATTGAATGAAAAATCTGCCCATTAAGTTGGTTATTTTTACATATTTAAAACTACGATATAAATATTTGCGTGTCTTCTCATGTAAATATAAATGATCATAAAACTTTATTTTTATACTTTTAGTTATGTAAACATTGAAATAGAAATTTTTATTTTACAGTATTTTTGGTCTTTTGGAACAATTAGCGTAGTTTTGCTGTCATGGGTAGTGATGGAATTCTTAAGCAATTGGCGAATTCTTTTGGCTATCACATCTCTTCCTGCTTTTATTGTGGTCATATCGCTAAAGGTATGAAATGTTTAAATTTAATTATTACACAAAATCTATTATTTTCATTAGTGCTTAACAGCAGATTTTTTATGCGTTTTATAAATTACAATGCCGTTACACTGTATTTTACAACTCGCCTTAGTTGAGATCTTGAGGGAAATAAGGTAATACAGGATGTCGCAAAAAAAAATTGTTTGTCCGGGGATTTTTCTTTTTTTCCCTATACATGCGTTTGGTGAGAAAACCAACGAAACCAAAGTACTATTAGTAAGATTTGGGTTTTAATCCACGATCTGCCTATCAATATTTGGTTGTTTTGCATCTTTGGAACCAGGGTATGGTTCTATGTCACTAATATTGGAAGCTTTTACTTAATTTGTTTAACCATTCGGGCCTGCAGACACAGTTGGGACATGCGTTTTATAAATTACAATGCCGTTACACTGTATTTTACAACTCGCCTTAGTTGAGATCTTGAGGGAAATAAGGTAATACAGGATGTCGCAAAAAAAAATTGTTTGTCCGGGGTTTTTTCTTTTTTTCCCTGTACATGCGTTTGGTGAGAAAACCAACGAAACCAACGTACTATTAGTAAGATTTGGGTTTTAATCCACGATCTGTCTATCAATATTTGGTTGTTTTGCATCTTTGGAACCAGGGTTTGGATCTATGTCACTAATATTGGAAGCTTCAACTCATTTTGTTAAACCATTCGGTCCTGCAGACACAGTTGGGACTCTGAAACATAGTTCGCAAATCGTGACATGATGGTGACATTTTAATGTGAATTTCAACAGTTTAGGCAACGAGTAAAATTGTATGCGAAGCTGAAAACAGGAAAAAAACCAGGATCATCTGTGATACATGATTGGTTTTATTTGTATTTAATTAAAAATAATAACAAAAGTAATTTTCTTCATTTTTTGTCTTCTTGAATTGCTGGGAGTTTCTACACCTCAGTTCAATGCCAAATGTGTAAAGAAAGAAAATTTTTAAAGCCTCATAAAACTTTATATCTTTTGTAGACTGATAAAAATAGCTTATATTATGTGTACCGAGTAACATAAGCTGGTATTTTGCTATTTCACATTTAACAAATACAGCTGCAATCTAGAAGAAGAAATTCCTTGACAAATCTGGTTTCATATTTCATTGTTTGAACACATTGTTCAATTTAGAAATGTTTGTCACAGAAAAGCTGTTATTTTGTTTCCAAATTAAAAATAAAATATCGCTAAATATTTCTTCTAGGCCAAATTTCTTATCAAACCCTCTCTCACTTTCATGAAAATTACACATTAAGAGCGTAATAGTTGTTTTGTATGAACATTAAATTTAAGTATTTGATGTAAAATTACACATTAATTTATTTTATTTCTTAAATATTGATTTATAATGTTAATTATTAGTCTGTTTATTTTATGAATTTCAATTGTAAACTCTTATAGTTTATCATATTTTATGAAAGATATTAGAAGAATATAATTCTCAATCTTATTTTACGAAAATTGTTAATAAGGAGTTTTTTTTTTGTATAGAGAAATGTACAAGTTTAATTATTAATTTTGTTCTAAAACCATATAGTATCACATGTGATATTTAAGGAACACATCTGTAATAAATAGAACATTAAAAAAATGCTATAAAAGTAATGATGAGCTAAATTTAGATTATTTATTGTAGAAAATGTAGCTGTAAATTTCAACCTTGACATAAAAAGAATACCGTAAATTTGATTGAACTTAGAATTTTCGTAAACAAACGCTTAAAATATTTTTACGTGTAATATCTAAATATTATTTTAAGATAGCTCATATAAGTAGAAATAATAAAAAATACTTTTATTTAGTTCGGAAGTAATTGTTTCTAAAAAATTACTCTTATTCATTTCTTTATGGTAATCTAATCATGCAGCACAAAATTTTTGTGAAAATTTTTAGCATGACAAAATGCCAAATTAATTGAGTTATATTTACTTTTAAATACATTAGGAGAACTTAACGAGGGTAATTTTCCATAAAAAGTTCATTAACAATAGTGAGTTTTTTCCTGAGACCTAAGAAGGAAAGCAGTGGAGCAGGGGATAAAGCACTCGTCTCTGAGATTACCCAGGTTCGAGTTCCAGCGACTCGAATTCTGCATCCGTCTAGAACTTACTACACATCTAGCTTAAAAATATCATCAGTGGAGGTAGAATCATGGGTTAAAAACCCGTTGCTACCGGGCTAACTATGTTTTCGTGGTTTTCCGTTCCATTTAACGCACATACAAGTAATTCCAATGAAAATTCCTCCACGAAGGATAGTTTGATCCAATGCTTGTACCAGTAGTTCTTTACGAGCACCGTATTTAACTGGCATCCACGCTATATCCTGTGTGTACGAGTGCTGTATCTAGCCGGTACCCACGCGATTTCTAGGACGTACGAGCGCCGTATTTAACCGATGTTAGCGCAATACCGTTTGAAAACCAACCCAATCTGTTTTAAACTGCCACCTGCTGATATTCTATTTACCTGCATTGAAATAATACTAGAATAAGAGTATTTTGAATGCACTTAATATGTTTTGTTAGTCGAAACAAGTTTAATTTGTGTGTTATAATTAAGAGTGAAATATTTCGTCTGTACAAAAATAAAACAGAAGCAAAGACTGAAAACTTCATCTGAATTAAATTACTAATGTAACAGATCTCATGACAGTTCAGATTGCCATGGTTTCATTTCTGAACTCAACAATGTGCTGAACGCCATCTAACGAAAATATTGTCATTCCATCTCCAGTTGCTGACCTCTTAGGTTGTGTTCATGCCCGTAATACCAGGAAATGTTTAATTTTTTTTCATTATTATTATTTGCATTTGTGTATTTTTTATGACTGTTACATGTGCTATATTTTATGTGTTTCGATAAATTGAATAAGAGCTAGTCGGAATCTAAATTTCTGTCCCGCAGTGGGCTGATCGTTAAGACACGGTTCCCAGCAGATCACCGAAGTCAAGCATCACTGGCTGCGGTCAGTGTGTGGGTGGGTGACCACTTGGATCAGTCTGCGTAGGGACCGTCGGGTCGTCGGGCTACCGAAGCGGGGATGGCATCCCCTCTGCTGAGGATCAAAATTGTGATGGCATGTCTTCGGATCATCCTCAGGGATGTTTCCCAGACCGTCGCCAATAGCCCATTGTGCAGTTCTAGTGCGACGTAAATGAACAAATCAATCAATCTAAATTTCTAACATGAACAGTTACAGTAGGCATTTTTTTAAAAAATTATCCTAAATTTTTATTTATAATACCTCCAAATATAATGTTGTGTAACACTTAATAAGAAAATTCGAACAACAGCTTACCGACATTCAATGTGCACACTTCGCGGAGCGGTGCATCGAACAGTGACGTCACTTCAGCGGAACAGAGTGCCCTAACCGAAGGGTTAAAATAGTACACGCAACATATTTTTGCTTAAAGAGTTTAAACACTTGCTAATAATGTAAATAATTTGTATAGAGCCCTGATAGCTCAGAGGATAGAGCGTTCACTTTCCAATGAAGTAAACCGGGTTCGAATCCCGGTCGATACAAATTCCACATCCGGCTCGCACCGACCATAGCGCTGACGTAAAATATACTCAGTGGTAAACGAATCATGGGTTAGAGTCCCCATACCATCAGGCTAACCATGGGAGGTTTTCGTGGTTCTCCTCTCCATGCAACGCAAATGTGGGTTAGTTCCATCAAAAAGTTCTCCACGAAGGCAAATTTCTCCCAACACTTAATCAAGAAGTTCCCTTGCTTTCTGGATTGGGTTCAAAATTACAAGGCTACGGAGTTGAACTTTAATAGCCGTAAACCCAAAGAATTGGATCGGCTGTTCAACGACGGTAATAAAATAAAATAATTTGTATAATATGCTATTTATAGAAACATGTCTTTTTTCAATTACATGACTCTAAAGTGGTATCCAGAAAGTTCCAGATATTACGTAGTGAGCAACCAACATGAAAAAGCCATTAAGATTTTAGACAAAATGGCCAAGTGTAACAATACTGTTGCGCCACCAGGCGAACTTGAAGAACTTAAAGAAACTGCTGTAAGGGGTCGCCTCCAGGATCTCCTTAATCAAAAACTCAGGAAAACAACACTGATATTTTGGTACATCTGGTGAGATAACTTTTATAATAGATAATAAAACATGATTTTAGAATAGTGTATCTAAAATACCTACTTATAGCTAGGGAAATATTCAATTTAGACAGTTCTGTTTTTATCGTCCATTTATACATTTTGTAGGTTTGCGACTGCTTTTGCTTATTATGGAATTGCTTTGCTAACACCTATTATCATTCAGAAAGGAGGTCTCACAACAAGTAAATATATTTTATTTATCTCTCGTAAATGTGTATGTGTGCGCGTGTGTGCGTGTCACATAAACGTCCTGATGAGGTTATTATGTAAATGATGCGCATGCTACTGTGAATGACCGAAAAATCGGTGGTTGTTGACTTTCACCGGTGAATGTTGACAATCAAATAGTCGCCTTGGTGAATGTACGAAATATTTATTACATCCGATTTGATATTAATTTATTCGTGGATATAATTACATTTATTCAATATTTTAATATTTACTGATGATAGATTAGAAGAAACATCAGTGTTTGGAGCATCAGGTAAATATATACCGGGCAATGATACTTGACCTTAAAAAATATCAGTGTAGGGTATACCGGGCAAATGTATACCGGGCAGTGGCCCTTGACCTTAAAAAAACATCAGTGTAGGGTATACCGGCCAAATATATACCGGGCAGTGATCCTTGACCTTTAAAAATCATCAGTGTTTGGAGTATCGGGCAAATGTATACCAGGCAATGGCACTTGACCTTAAAAAACCATTGCTCGGTACACCCTACACTGATGTTTTTTTAAGGTCAAGGGCCACTGCCCGGTATATATTTGCCCGATATACCCTACACTGATGTTTTTTTAAGGTCAAGTGCCATTGCCCGGTATATATTTGCCCGATACTCCAAACACTGATGTTTCTTCTAATCTATCGTCAGTAAGTATTAAAATATCGAATAAATGTAATTATATCCCCGTATTAATTAATATCAAATCGGATGTAATAAATGTTTCGGACATTCACCAAGTGATTGTGATTGTTAACATTCACCGGTGAAAGTCAACAACCACCGATTTCGGTCATTCACAGTAACATACACATCATTTACGTAATAACCCCATCAGGACGTTTATTTCATACTTTGCCTAAATAGCATCCGGCATTATATATAATGCCTAAGGCATTATACATAATGCCAATACTTCTCATATTTCATACTTTGCCTAAAAACATCAGGCATTTCATACGGCATTTCATACTTTGCCGGTCACATATATATTAATAAATGTCTAATGAACTCTAAATAATCCACATTTTTAAATTCGGTGTGAAAAGTGTTTTGATTTAAATCATTAAGAACTAATCCATTAACCTCTCACTTACGGCTGGTTCAATAACTGGACCAAAATGACAGGCTTAATGCTAAGTGCCATAACCAAAAGGTTAAGGAAAAGTAGAGTTGTTTTGAGGTAAATATTTTTTGAAAATGTTATGTGAACAACATTTCAATATCAACAATCAAAAATAGTCATAATTTTTACATGTATGAAACTCAGTTCGTTAAAAAAACCGGGATTCGGATGACATTTATTTTTTTCCACTCTGTATAATCTAACTTATACTATTTAGAATACAAGAAGTAAGAAAACAAACTTTGCACTTTAGAAAAAAGATCGGAAAATTTACTATACGATAAAAATTACAGACACTCAAAATACCACTATTTTTTTATATTTTGAATTCAATTTTTTGCAGTAGAAATGTATGGTAGAAAAATATTAACAGATAATAACTGAAAAACCATTTGGTCAAGCACTGAAAATCTACGTAATTTTCACCGAAGTGCTTTGGTAATGATGTTGGTAACGATAAAATATGGTTTCATAATACAGGATAAAATTGGTAGATGTGATAAAATTTGTTAATTTTATCATAATGCATTTGAGCATGGCATAAGAACCTTATATTCCGTTAAATATATATTTTTTGTTTTGTATTTTTTATTAAACGTGGGGTAATAAGAATTATAATTTTGAAAAGCAGAATTTCCTGTTAACCGTTACCATAAAGCGGAAAAATTGCTAAATGAATGGTTAAAATACTGAATATTATAGTTTTTATCTCCAGAATTATGGTTCTTGTCCTTACCAAATAGTACAGTAAATTTACCGAAAAATTGTTCTCCGTGGATATATCTCAAAAGTTTCCGTAATTTTTTACTCAGAGTTTTTTTTTTCTGTAAAGAATATGCTACCCAACAACATGGAAGTATGAATTTTAAAAACAATAAATAAAAAGAAAAATCCAAACTCTGATTTAATACCAGAAGAACAAGGAATATCTTTTCCAAAGTCAACGAATTATTTTTTGATAAAATTTGTCGGAACAAATAGGAGCGTTTTCTTGTAAAGCTTACACATAGTAAGCTGTTAATTTTAAATAAATGCAAAAAATATGTATGTTGTTTCATTTTAATCAGATGAGAACAGTGCCTCAAGTATCGTCAATGGAACAGATGATGTGACGATGAGCAAAATAATTCCTTGCACTAAATTGACGCGGCAAAACTACATAGATTTGTTATGGACAAGCTCAGCGGAATTTCCTGGTATTTTATATTACTTTTATTTGAAATTTTATTGTATAGTAATTATTTTATTTCATTTTATTATACAGTATTTGTTTTCAAAATAATAATACGTCAAAGGATTTTTGTATTAACTATTCTTCGAATTTTGCCCAAATTAATAGTTATAGTCTTGTGAAGAAAAAATAAACAAGTCATAAATATCTATACTTGAATTTTTTCACAAATGCATTCAGTGAAAGAAATACTTTTAAAATACATAAAAAAATATTCTATAAACTTGCATCTAAAAGAGCTCGAAGAAATGTTTGACTTTTGCCAGAAATTTTTATCATAAAGAAAATAAGTAAATAGTATGCTATTCTAAAAGTAGTAAAAATGTTTTCAAAAATATTAATATTTCAGCAGAAATATCGGAGAAACTTTAAAAAAGGGAACAAAATTTCTCTTTCGAAATTGTGCTGATGGTTCAACAAAAAGTTAGTTCATTATGACAAACCAGTTGTATTTATAAACTGATAATAATTTTTACAGTGCTTAAGTGCACTCGGTCTTTTTACTATGAATATTTAAATTCTGAAATGAAACTTTTAAATAAATGGAAAAACACTATTCTACGAACTGATCTTTTTCTTACTGTAATGTCAATTGAAGAAAATGGAATTGTATAAGAAGCAATTATGTACTTATATTTTGACATAGGACTCGTACTCTTTACGTTTTTGGTTGAGTGTTGTTCCCGGAAACTACTGCTAGGAGGTGCGTGCGCATTCAGTGGAGTGATGATATTTCTCCTTCTCTTGAAAACCAAGTAAGCTTATGTGGAATTTAGATTTAAATTCAGAAGATTGTTAATCATATTCATAAGCCTGAGAATAAAAACAATAATCATATAAATCAGCTCTGCCTGTAAATAATAGTATTTTTGACGAAGAACATTAAAGTTGCAATTAACTTATTTTCCATTGAATCGCTTTAAAAAATTGATTAGCGATTATTTAAAATTCCAAGTCAAATGTAAACACGATAGCTCGTAGCGACAATTATTCAATAATTTTTTTAGAACTATAATATGGATCGATGGTACCAGCTTGTCGAAGAAGTAAAGACTGCCTCTGCGCAATGCTCACCACGTTACCGTAATTATGCAGTAGGTCTCGAAATTTCGGAATGTTAAACTCCATGACCCTCTCCTCGCTCATTTTTAATGAATACAATAGATTACTTAAATTAATGCTTAAAAGAACAATATTACTATCAAAATTAGACGAATCATTATCTAGGTCAATCGCAAAAGTTGTTGACAAAACAGAAATACGCTTCTAACAAATTTTCACCTCTACATAGTTCCATTTAAAAGTCGAATTAATTGTGATACTTTTAGCTTCATCTTCACTATGATTGACCTCGATTAAATATTAATTTGAGAGCCTTATTGTATGCACAGATGTTTACTTTATTTTTATTCTTAAATTAATTATAAAAGGGTGGCACTTATGAAACACTTTGTATAGTGTTACTACGTAAAAATTGAACAAGAAAATCATTAGATAAATATTTTTAAAAAAAGTTTTATTTCTAAACGTCAGCCATTTTAAGATATTTCTAAAAAGACAAGGATTCCTCACGTATCTGTTTCTTTAAACGAGCAAATTAAAAGAAAAGCGCTTTTACGACCCCTAATTCAGTGAACCAAAAAATATATAGTTTGTTTAAAGTAAGAACTCCCCTACCCATTCGTCTGGACTTGTGGCGGTAACTATGGTAACGAGGTATAACTATTTCAAGTTGGAGTGTGGGGGGGGACAGGTTTTGGCTCGTGTCGGCGAGAGAAAGATAATCTTTTTCTTCTGTCTATTGTGCTAGCCCTAGAGTGAAGAGAAGCTACCCTCTCTGATAAGCGCTATTCTTGTTTCCATAGCAGCAGATAGCCTCAGACTTTGTGGCGGGGGAAGTTCTTACCGTAGACAAACTATAGCTATGCAGTAACATCACAAGATCCAAAATATTGTAGCATACTCCCCTGATATTACAGACTTCGTAAAAGTATAGTGCCCATGTCTAAAAGCGTACTTGACGAATGATAGGAATAAAACAAGTATCAAAACGTTAAAAAAATTTTAAGCTTATAGTTTTATTGTAAAGAGTTGCTTAAGGCTATTGGTAGGTAGAAAAAAGTAGCTCTTGTTATAATTTATTTTATAAAAGCTTACTAATTTTTCTATTGTAAGGATAACAAAAATTGCAGAAGTCTCATTTACTTACATTTTCTTCTTTTATTCGTTATTAATCTAATTTTTAAAAGTAAATTACAATTCTGATCATTTTCAAAAACATATGTTTTAAATCATACATATGTTAAAAAGCTATCTTAATACAATTGTATTTTCATATTTTAGCATAAATCCTAATTTTTTCACATATTATTTTACTGCCAGAGCATTTTGCTAAGTACCTATAATAATATGTTACTTATAATAAATGTTAATATAATTTTCTTTGCAGAAAAATCATTATCCTTGTTTTCCTGTTTGGAGCAAGAAGTATATTATTGTCAGTGTTCCAACTGATTTTAATCATGACGAGCGAAGTAAGAACGTATATTAAATTTTTATCAACAATATTGTGTAACAAAAATGGTCAGATATTTTTAATTCCAGTTCTCAGGAACTACACGACCAATTTCGATCAAATTTTGTATTTTGCATTGTAAAATTATATTCCTTAAAAATAATGCAAAAGATTGAATACCTGAAAATTTAAAGTTTTTTTCGGCCATCATTGAAGAAAATAATAAATATTTACTAAAATTTATTTTTTGCATGGAATTATCTTTGGATAAACGAATTTTGTAATTCTGTGCAAAAATATTTCAATTCACTTAAAAAGTTCTTGAGATATAGCGAAATACGCAAAAAGTAAAATTTAAGAGGCCCAAAGCTTGCAGCCCTCTCCTCATCAAACCTTATTTCCCAGATTGTGTCTACCTCCTATAATTTGGGGGAAAGAAATCCTAATCCGTTGAGAAAAACGTATTATTCAGAGAAAGTACGTTTTTGCTTCTGATTTCGTTAAGTCAAAATATTGTTTGCACTTATTAATTAGCATATTTGAGGTTACCCTCACGAAACAGGAAGATTGAGTTCTAGAACGGGAAGATCCGATCGTTAGATCAAAAGTTATTCAGAGTGGTACGTTTTTGTTTTTTGAAAATATACTACCCGCTAGAGGGCGTGTTCAAGTGTTGCGATCGCGATTTAAGGATCACATCTATTATTTAATAGTGTCAGACGATTTGTTGAGTACTTCATTTTGATGCCAGATTTATTCAATTCTATTATACAGAATATTCCACTCCAGAATATATTTACTGTAGACGATATTTTGTTACAATATACTATCAAATAATTTTTACAAGGTATGCCACATATAACTTTTAGTAAATTAAACATTTAACATTTACATCTAAATTTTTTGTTTTACAAAGATGATAACTTTATTTGTTTTTGAGGAGTACATTACCTTATGCCACTTTTATCTTTTCACTAATAAAAACATAAACTTTTTCAAGGTATTTCCAACTACTGTGAGAGCCCTTGCTATGGGTACAGGAAGTGCATTTGCTCGGTTGGGAGGCTTAATAGTTCCTTATATCGCTCAGGTAAAATTAAAGAAGAAAAAGAATACTTTTCAAAATAAATGCTAAATATCTGTCCAATAGTGATACATACTAATGCCTTTTTTTTGTCTTTATTAAGGTAATGATTATCAGTCAGCCATTGGCGACCATTTGTGTGCTTGCTGGCGTGACAATCATTTGTGCCGTTGCAGCTGCTTTTATTCCAGAAACAAAAGGAGAACGATTAAAGGTACAATTGTCAATTACAATGTTTTGATATTTTGCGGCTAAATTTTCTAAGATTAATTCCAGGCTGCTCTTTTTTATGTAATGTGTTACAGTTTCGATAAACTTTTTAAATAATCTGTATGAAACACATTAAAATTGTTTTTCTTTTTTTTCATTTTCAACTTAATGCTTGTTTATAAGATATTAAGTTTCTTTGTAAACGATATTTATTGGAGCAATTTAAACTCGTGCGTTCATGAAGTCTAAAGCGAAAATGAAATTAACGGTGAACGATGAAATTAATAGATATACTGCAGAACAATTTCAGAACAAAGATAATTCAACTTATTCTAGATACTATTAAAATATTCACTAAATGCTGTCAGACATTTAAATTCAGGTGAATAATCGGGACAGAAGCTGAAAATTTAACCTAAAACTAAATAATATTGATTTTTGCCTCTTCTTATAGATAATTTTTTCTCAATATCAATTTCTAACATTTGAAATTTTCAACTAGATTATGCTTTTCTTTAAACTTAGCTGGATACTAGTAGGTGGGCAGATATAAAAATACATACCATATGTGCTAATGTGATAAATCAGAGCGATCAGTTGAACACTTATTATTTATGTTGTAAGAATGACAAAATTAATTTTATTATTATGTATGAGAAAGACATATAGGAAAAGCAATGCACGCCGCTGTTTTATCTTAACAATTGAAAATTTCCATAAGTTACACACATTTTAACAGAAAACAATAGAAGGAAGTCGAAGAAGTATGCTTTACATCAGAAACTGCATTTCTTTACGAAATGATATTACATTTACAAACAAGTTTCGTTAAGAAAAAAAGTGGAATTATGTGACTGGTGTTAGTTTGCTGACAGTACGAATTGTATCCATTAGTATGGGGACAATTCTACAGTTAGTTATTTTCTTTTTAAAGAACATTAAAACCTGCAATGAATTTTTCTTAAAAAAATTTATTTTAATTTATTTGATTAAAAAATTCTTTCGAAGCAAAAAAAGTTACATAATATTTTATTTAATATTTTTTATTCTTCTTTTTTTAAGAAATAAGGTAGCTTATTTAAGTTGAATTATTTTTTTAAGTCGTTATAATTTTAATGTCGCCAGTTCTATATTGGACCAAATAATTGGGTCTTAGTGAAAACAGAAGACTCCTTTGGAATGTATCTATGACTTTTATCCATGCTATATATTTTTTTATAAATTGAAACATTAAGCGTCTTTGAAACGTTTTGGTGTTGGTTTTTTATTAATGCACATTTTTTTTTCTTCCTTCATCGTGTAAATTGACTTTTATAGAATTATTTGCAGGGTGCGTAGCGTTTTTAAAAAGTGCTTAAAGGTGCTTATTTTCGATTTTCGTTTATTAAAAGCCCTTAAAGGTGCTTTTTTTCATTGGGTGTTTTTAAAAAGTGCTTAATTTTCCCTTTTTTCAAAACGAGATTTTTCCTTTACTATGTTGATTTTCGCTTTGAATTATGCAAAATGTCACAGTTCACATTGTTCTATTCAACGTTTTCATAATTAATTCAACCCAAATCTATTTCGGTGTATTGTCAGTCCGTAGCGTTTGAAAACGCCATTCATTTTACATGATTCAAAATTTCATAATTTTTGACAATTGTCAAAAACAATGCCAAAAGTTTTTTTTTTTTTTGACATGACGGTTAAAACAAAATAAAATCGTCAATTATCAAACATTTCCAACCCTGCCTAATATTTTTTCAAAGTGCTTAAAAATATTTTTTGAGTGCTCGAAAAGTGCTTAAAAGGTGCTTATTTTTTGTTCAATTATTTGGCTATGCACCTTGATTTGGCACGAGGGATTTTTTGCACACTCTATTTTACATAAACGATTCCTCAAAATATTTAACAAGTTATGAATTGGAGTTGAATCAGGCCATAAAATTAAGCGAAATTACTTTGACTTCCTGGAATGCATTTCTAAACTATTTTTGAATTATACACGAAGCTAAATCATGTACCTAAGTATTCACCACACAGTTGACATAAGCACACTTTCACAGTATAGTAGTTGCAAATATATTTCATTGACAGTTTTTTTATAGGTGTGTAAGTTATAAAATATATAAAGAACTTTGTTGAAAAATAAGTCATGCTAAGTTTTGAAAATACTTTTTTATTCAGATTTAGGAACATGTTATTAGAATAACTATGTTACAGCGCATGTTGATTAAGTAATTGAAAGAGAATTCACCAGGGAGGGTATTTTAACATTCAAAGTACAGAAAAAAATGAGTTCAGATAAATTAAGAGTCAACTACGAATTTTCAAAAGCTGACATTTGTTTTGAATATATCAAATTGCAAACAAATTATGACAGGAACACTATCCTTCGCATAAGACCAGCTCATTCTACTATTTCTGCAATGTTTGCAATAAGATATTTTAAAGGAAAAAATTTTATTTCAATTTATGCTTTTTCTTTTTCAAACTTTAAATTATTAGTGTTTTTGTAAGAGAAGAACATACTATTAGGACATTGCTAGATTAAAAACTTCCTTACTTGATTAAAAACTTCAAAAATTGATAATAACCAGGGTTCGAAAAACCACCCGTCCGCCCGTCTTCGGCGGTCAAAAATTCCCCGTGGACAACGAATTTCTCGAATCCGACGTCCGTGCGGACGGCCATTTTCCCGTTAATGTGGGTGATACATTTTCAGGTTTTGTTATCTTACAAGAGTCTAGCGCCTCACTTCTAAAATGATCCTCTAATCTAGAAATACAGCAACATACTGCGCATGGTGGAATGGATGTTTTCTCTGACTCCCGTAATGCAGCGGCTGAAAGGGACTCTTCAGCAATGAACTTACAAAGAAACACACTACGTACTGGTCTTAAACAAGAAGCGTTAAACGTTATTATGAACATCTACCTAAATGGAAAACCCCTTTAAGATTTTTGTGCAGAAACCTCTGTAAATCATTAGCTTGATTGTGGAACTGGCAAACGACATATTTGATTCATTTAAAAAACGCAGTACCCTCGGATAAATTGACATTCCAGATAACTTGACATTTGTCATTTAAATTATTTCAAAAAAGAAATTAATTATTTTATAAAAGAAATACTAGGTTCCTATAAGTAACCTAGTATTCCTTTTATTACTTTATAATGCAATCCTAGTATTTGTAATCCTAGTAACTACTAATTCATTGTGCAGTTTAAATAAATGTTTGTAATAAATAAGAGAAAATTATATTTTTATTTATTTAGAAGCGACGGGTTAGTTTCAAAGGAGGACGGGTACATAGTTGGACAAGCCGTCCTCGGGGACGGGTAAAATTTTTGAGTTTTTTCGAGCCCTGATAATAACAGTCGACATGTTTCAAGAGCTCAAAAATAGGAACTCATTTTTAAGACTTGAACGACGTGAATACGAGACGTACCAGATTTTCATATCTGACAAGTCTTGAAAATGGGCGCCGATTTTTGAGTGCTTAAATCCTGTCTAATGCTGTTTCTAATTTATAACTTTTTAAAGCGAATGAAGTTTTTAATCAAGTAATGTCTTGGGGCTTTAGTTTCTTGGGATTATTTATTTAATGCTGAGAAAGGTTTCTCACATGGTATCTACTCATAAGCACATGTTTTTATATGTTTAGAATTAATTTATAGGAATTAGCTTACTGTGTTTTGAATAATTTTATTTTTCATGAATAAAAATTATGTTCTAATAGATTAAACATAATTTTTATTCATATGTATATGTATCTAATAGAATATTTATCCAGTTGGATCAGTTTGCGTAGGGACCGAGGGTGTGCGGTATTGGTCCTCGTTAAACTGTGCTACCGTGAAGTGCTCGACTTCGCGCGCAGGTCGTCGGGCTACCGAAGCGGGGGTGCCATTCCCTCCGCAGAGGATCAAAATTGTGATGGCATGTCTTCGGATCATTCTCCGGGATGCATCCCAGACCGTCGCCAATAGCCCATTGTGCAGCTCTAGTGCGACGTAAATTAACAACATGTATCTAATATGTATAAAAATATGCACCTAATGAAGTTTTTTCAAGTTTTTTAATATGTCATTCAACAGTTTTTTTCTATAACTTAACAAGGCTTAATGTTAAACAAGGTTAGAAATTTTAGTAAAGGTTGATTTATAACATCTTTGAAACTTGTTGAATCCCTAAAATGGTGCTTATTTAAGCCACTTCACATCATTTCAACTTAACAGCTACACTGTAAAAAAATTCCGAATCGAAATACGATAAAAAGTATCGGCATTCAGGGTGTCGGTATTTTTTGCAGTAAAATCCAGTTTTAACGAAACATAATTTGGAACGAAATGACACATAAACCGTAATTATTACACTAATAATTACAATAAAATCACTGAATCACTCTAATTAATAAATATTACTGTATAAACTACGGTAAAATATTTTACAATAAAAATGAATTTCTCGGATGATGCACCCAAAGTTCTAGTACTTTATACCGTAATTCGATCCAGAATTTTTTACAGTGTAGACGGATATTTATCGTGACCAGAAATATGGTTCAATTTAATATCTTTTTGAGACAGCAGCAAACTTGCNCTCTGACATAAGTTAAACAAGGTTAGAAATTTTAGTAAAGGTTGATTTATAGCATCTTTGAAACTTGTTGAAACCCTAATATGGTGCTCATTTAAGCCACTTCACATCATTTCAACTTAACAGCTACACTGTAAAAAATTCCGAATCGAAATACGATAAAAAGTATCGGCACTCAGGGTGCCGATATTTTTTAAAGTAAAATACAGTTTTATCGGAACATAATTCGGAACAAAATGACACATAAACCGTAATTTTTACAGTAATAATTACAATAAAATCACTGAATCACTCTAATTAATAAATATTACTGTATAAACTACGGTAAAATATTTTACAATAAAAATGAATTTCTCGGATGATGCACCCAAAGTTCTAGTACTTTATACCGTAATTCGATCCAGAATTTTTTACAGTGTAGACGGATATTTATCGTGACCAGAAATATGGTTCAATTTAATATCTTTTTGAGACAGCAGCAAACTTGCACCGTATAATGGTACCGATATTATGGTTTGAAGTCGAACCGACTTTTATTAGAGTGTCCTGCTATACTACGTCTATTTTATTATAATAAATTTTAGTGCTTAATAATAATTTGTATGAAATATTACTTTTATAGGAAACCATTGAATTGACATGAATAAAGTTATTTTAAGGAGACTTCATAAAGTTAGAAGATTGAAAGAAGACTGCTACAGACGAGCTTATTTTGAAATAATTTATTGAAACAATTTGAATTTTTTTGTACAGTCAAAAGTGTATAGAAGATATATGATTATTTGATATTGTGCTGTTAAATATGATAAATATGTTATATAAAAGCAATTTGAAAGAAGAAATTCGAAGGAAACTTTGTGCTAATTTATTGATTAAACTTTTTATTTTTATTTAATTATTATTAATAGTTATTATCGATAAATAGATCTTATTGTTATTAGATGAATGGACTTTACTTTTGTACTACGAATTGTGAAATACCTTTATTACTAGAAAACATTATTTCATTGGGAAATTTTGTTAAAAAATTTTAAAAAAATACTTAAGATATTTAAAACAAATACAGAATTTTAAGCTTGATGTTTTTTTTCTTCTCTTAAACTGTAATAATTTTCAAGTGTACTTGCATCTAATCTACTAAAATGCTCCTAAAATACAAAAATTTGAGTTTAGCAAGTTAGTTTTTGAAGGAAATTATTAGAGTAAAATAATAAACATAATAAATAATAATATAGAATTAAAGAAAACGTATAATATAAACCTAATCTAGATGCATAAAACGCAAGATATTCGTATGATATTTGTACACAAATCCATAATTTTTAATGATTTCTCTCACCAAATTTGGTATGCATGCACTGTAAAAAATCTTATGTGTCTCACCAACAAAAATAGGTGCAATTACTTTACACCAAAGTGCTGTAATGATGCACTACAGACACTTTCTTGGTGATTGATGTTGTGAAACACCAAAAATATCCCTTTGGTGTATAGTAGTGGCCACTAATTTTGGTATTAAGATATACACGTTTATAAAAATTTAAAAAAATATTATTAAAAATTAGAAACAGAAACGTAATTCACAAGTAAAATTAGTAGAGTTGTTTACGAGTTTTAAATTTACAAAATATATATTACATAAAAAAGAAGTCAAAATATATGAAAAAGAAGTCAAGGAAATGTAACATATCTTTAACTTGACTTCTTTTTTTTCAATCTGCGCATTGTAATAGAGGGCGTTGTTTTCCTTAGTTTTAAGTGTTTCTTTTTCGTTCGGTTTGCTTATGAAATCGCTGTTTGGCCTGGTTAAAGTGAGTTTTTATTTTCTGATGATTTTGTTTGAGTTTCTTTTCTAAATTGGTTCTTTGTATTTCATGTTTTTTCCCGGATTTCTATACAAAACCTTCCGGGTACTGAGGGAGTTACTTTAAGCATTTGTTTCTCCCTCAATAGAAAAGGTTTTGTTTTATGGCTACCGGGGCCGGCCGGTACCCCCTGAAGACGTCGGCTTCGGTGGTCATANAATTGGTTCTTTGTATTTCATGTTTTTTCCCGGATTTCTACACAAAACCTTCCGGGTACAGAGGGAGTTACTTTAAGCATTTGCTTCTCCCTCAATAGAAAAGGTTTTGTTTTATGGCTACCGGGGCCGGCCGGTACCCCCTGAAGACGGCGGCTTCGGTGGTCATATTTTTATTTTTATTTCCTTCGTTTCCTTTATTGCTACATTAATATTTCATATAAATAATAATACTAATTAATTGTTTAATAGTATTTTAAACATTAAATGTATGAAATATTTAAACAATAGGTATCAAAGGAATATTAGTCATTTAAGCAACTTTTTTAAAAAAATTAACAAAAAAAATTTTTTTTGTTGATAATTTTATGTGATGAAATTTTCAAAAATAAATATCTATGAGCTCTTTTAAAAGTTGCTGAATTTTTGTTAAGAATAGCTTTACATTATTGTCTTTTAAAAATTCATTCCATTACGTTACCAGAGCATTATTAAGCAGACTCATATCACCTAATTTATCATAAAATATTTTTCGTTACAAGTATCAGTTGTTAATCAGATATAAACTTGTAGAGGTGTACAAAAACCTTCTCTCAAACAGTAAGGAAGAAATTGATTAAATAATATATAAGAGAGAAATTTGATGTATGACAACATGCAACTACTGCATGTGTAAGCTATAAGCTATTTCGTCTCAGTAAAGTGTAACCTTAAACATACATTGGATATACTAAGGATAGCGCCCCCACTCAGCATTTGAAAAAAATTGAGATAAAGTGTCAAAATAGTTTAAAAGCCTGTTTAAACGATTTGGGCATAATTTATAATACGATTTTTAAGACAAAAAACTCAAATTAATGAATAAAGCCAATCATACACATATTAGAGCCGAGATAGTCTGGTTGGAAGGGCATTGGTTCCAAGTCCAAGAGATCGTGATCTTGATACCAGCCGGCTGAAGACTGTAGTAAACGGTGACTGGTGCGCGTTAAATCTGTCAGGCCACAAAGTGCTCCAAGTTCTCATAATAAATCGATACCTCTGGGGGGCACTAAATTGGAGATTAATCGTTCTCTGGTTCGGGTTAAAATAACCGTCTGTGGATGTATGAAGGAGTCAGCCCACTAAACCTGACTATGACGCGTATGTGACTAAAGACGCATTCTTGGCCATAGATGGCGCCACTGAAAAACAAGAAATGCACTTTCTGTCTAAAATTCGCTTGGTTTAACGAAAGAGGCTTGCTGATTGGCAATTTTGTTACTAGCCAGTGGCAAATATTAACATTTTTAACAGTGGCCAAAAAACCTGTCACAATTTTTCGAAAATTAAAAATTTAAATTCTTTAAAAAAATTTTATAAATATATCTTTATTTAGTTTGGCGCATTTCGCAAAATATGGTAAACATTACAAGTTGAAGTTCTAAAATGACTAAAACTTTTGAGAAACAAATATGAGATTAAACATATTATAATACAGAATATTATGAAATATTCGTAATAATTCATCACTTACTAGAAAAATAAGAATAAAATCTATATTGGGTACTTTCTCGACGAAAAAAAGTGGCTGTTGGCCGACAGATTTTTAATCGCCATTTGTAATATTTAGTCGCCCTGCAGCTGGTGGTGATCAATAATTTTGCCATATTTTAACGATTTCATCTATGTTACCTTTTATATTACTGCTAAAGTGTTACATCCGTTATTTCATAGAATAACTAGATATTTCATGAAATAACTAAACAAGTAAGTTAAATCATATAAAATTATTGAATTCTACAATTTAACTAGGTATTCTATAGAATAAAGATTACTTTATCGTTTAAGCATGAAACACGGCACTCGAAAGTTCTTTGAACAAGTTCTAGCTGCTTTTAGTTTGTTTTGAACCGATTATAGCTACTTTGCAGTGACGTGCGCATACGCTTCATTTCGTTCCTTTTAGACGTAATTATTAATATGAGCAATAATAAACTATATCATCTGTTTTTCCTCGTTGTATTTATCAATTTATCATCCGCAATAGGGATTAAATGCATTTTTAAAGATTTAATCAACTGCTGTTGTTTCTAATGTCACTTGCCAATATCAGCAAGCCTGCCTGGTGAAACCAAGTGAAATTTAGGGAGAGGGTACGTTTCTTATTTTTCAGTAGCGCCATCTATGGCTAAGAATACAACTTCAGAAACACATACGTCACAGCCAGTTTATAGGGCGGATCGTTTCATACATCCATTCATTCATCCGTTATTTTAACCTGAACAAGAGAACGATCAATCTCCAATTCAGTACCCTCAGAGGTATAATTTGTAATGGGAACATGGAGGACTTCGTGCACTGGTCACCATTTACTACACGAGGAGTCTTCATCCGGTGGCGTATTTACAAAGACTCAATGATACAGAGCACTTGGCGTGATAAAAAACATTTAAGTATTTTTGGTGCGAAAAAGAAAGTT